AGTGAACCTGTTCGGGGTTGACAGGGGATCCCTTCAGATTGTGTCTGCAGCCGGTGTGGCCTTCCTAGCTGCGTGTCCATTATCCAAGGAAGCCAAGGTTTTTGGCTAAGACTGTGGTATTTATATGATTATTTGTGAGTCATTTAAATTGCTGCATGTGCTTTTTTATGTGCAGGTTAGAAATCTCACTTTGCTTTTAATTTTTTTTCAGTTACATTTCTAAATCTATGCTAGTCTATTTTTTTTATTAAATCACAAGTGGTTGTGGTTTTTTTCCCATAATATAGATGTCCAAGTCTTCAACAGCACCAAAAATGTCATCCCAAGAGGAAATATTGAGCGATGGGCGATTTAGCTGTGTTACAAGGGATCCCAGATTTTGGGAGATGCCAGAAAAAGAACGTAAAGTTAAGATTGACAAACGGTTCCGAGCGATGTTTCATGACAAGAAGTTTAAGCTGAAATATACAGTGGATAAAAGAGGTCGCCCTGTTAACTATACTACTACAGAGAACCTCAGGAAATTTTATACCCTGTCAGAATCTGACTCTGATCTTTCAGAAAATGATAGTAAAGAATATATGGAAAAGAAGAAAAAGAAAAAAAAAGCTAAACATAAAGGAGAAGCAGATTCTGCAAAATTTCTGTCTAGGAAGGAGAGCAAAATAAACAAACAAGGGGTGGACCAAACATGTGAAGTGGTGACCACAGCAACAGAAATTGATCTATTTCGGGGAAACAAAGGTGTTTTACACAAAGGGGAAGACAAGCAAGGAGGTACTTCAGGAGGAAGATCAATGTCAACTCAAAGCAATCAAAAGTCTTCACAACCGAGTGGTACTAAGTCAGTTAAAGCTCCCAGGAGGGATGGTTCCCTAGGAGGAAAAATAAAAGAATCAGGTTGGTTATTCAGATAACAACTAGAATTTGTCTGTGTTTGGATGTTGTTGCTTTTGTTTTATTTGTGGAAAATCTTTTTCTTGCAAGATCAGTTGTAAAATAGGTGACTGGCTTGGATTCAGTGTTGTTGAAGAATCAGATTTGGTCAGCTCTTTTGGTCAGTGCCGATTCTTCAGCAAGATTGTGAACATCCATGTTATTTTCATTGCTGGAGCTGAAATTGTTGTTTGGCTACAAAAGTAAAACGTGTAGTAGTGTGTTTATCAAAGTGAATAGCAAATATAAGGTCTGATACCATGAATGCTTCTGCATATCAATGCTTGTTGGCTGAAAGCATAAGGATGGCAGCATCAAACCATATGAGAGGGTATTAGAGAGAACAGGTGACTTGAGGAGCAACTTTATTTATATTGCTTGTGCATGCATATAGCCGACATTATTGAAATCTGATTTCTACTTGTTGATTCTATACATATAAATAGAATAACAGAATAGCGTTTTTTCAGAGTTTGAGATTGAGAATGCGGTTGTGGGCCTAAAGAGCAGTACAGTAGACAAGCTGAAGAGCCAAGACTGATGATTTATGTTTTTCACACTTCCCTGATGTAATTTGTTCCTGCGTCGTTATACAGTTCAGTTCTGTAAATCTGTATGAAGAAAACCTGTGTTCTTTTCCTCTTTGTAAAAGATCATATGTAATGACAATATAAAAATAGATACCTGATGCTTATCTTTCAGTGACTGTATGTACAGACACCTGTGAAAAACGTGACATCAGTAAAAGCCAATTAGAGGAAGAAATTTCTGCAAATGATGATTTTGAGTGTGCAGAATCAGAAGAAGAGGAGCCAGAAGATGATGGGGAAACAGGTGAGGAAGAGGAGCCAGAAGATGATGGGGAAACAGGTGAGGAAGAGGAGCCAGAAGATGATGGGGAAACAAGCGAAGACAACAGTGATTCAGAAGATGATGAAGAAAGTGATAGTGGGCCTGATCTAGCTAGAGGCATAGGGAACATTGAAACGAGCTCAGAGGATGACGAGGATTTAAATGAACTATTTCCAAAGGAGCCGGAGATAGAACATTCATGGCGCGAGCTAGATAAAGATGCCCCTCGTGGAGATGAGGTAATGATACTCCTACATGTGAAAAGTGGCTACATGACAAACTCAGAAATGTACACTGTTATGAGTTCATTGTAGGCCTTTGTCTGTGAAACAGTTTGTGAAAGAATTTTTTGTAAAGGTTTTTCAGCCTTTTAGTTGCAGAATGCAGGTGGTGGTGAAATTGGCTGAGAATGAAAGACTTGAGGTTTTCACTGGTGTCTCCCTTTCCGTCTAAGCAGAGGCTTACCTGTAGATAGATAAGTTATCTGTAAGTGAAAGAACAAACAGAACTGAGCTTTCCAGAAATTCTAGAATTTAAATATTACTGCTTTTGTTCACTACTGATTTCTTTCACTTTTTTTTGAACATAGTATTTTAATTTGCCTTTTAAGAAAGTAAGAAATCATTAGACAATCAAGTAGGACTTTAAAACAGCACCATTAGTGTGTAGTAAATCGCAGTACACTAGTGCGGTTCCAGTACTGTGATACTAGTTGCTATTGTATGATGATAACAAAATCCTAAGTGCTGATGTTGTAACTGTAGTCCTAAATCTGTGATTGGCGCAGTCCATTCTGCGGTACTTCAGTAGTTACGTGCTTTTTATCTGCTCAGGCGATGGCTGCGTCTGACCTTTGCTAGTTTAAGTGATACACAGTCTTGAGGAAAATGCTTCTTTTATTTTTTTCAGCAGGGTTTGTTGATGACTGATTTTTAGCAAGGATAGTTGCTAAAGAATTGTATATTCCTCATATCAGTCAGCAATTAAACTTAATGTCCTTTTTTTTTTTCCTCCTCTCTGTTCAGATTACAAGTAGATTGGCAGTTTGTAATATGGATTGGGATAGGTTGAAGGCTAAAGATTTGCTGGCTCTATTTAATTCTTTCATGCCCAAAGGAGGAACAATATTTTCTGTTAAGGTAAGACCTGATTTCTAAAATAAGAACGAAGGGAGACAGTTCTGTGGAGAAGCAAAAGAGATATTAACATGATGAATGAGAAACTGAGTTGCAATTTAACTTGCTGTATTAGAAACAAACGTGCTGCTTTTCAGCAATGGGCATGTATTTGGTAGAGTTACGTCCTGAAGCTGTTAACCTCTTGTGTTTATGAGCTTGGCTCTAAGTGCTGTTTTTCTGAGACCAGTATGAAGTTTTCAAGGTCTAGTAGGGTGGACACAATGTTTGCTTGGCTACTTTAATATTCATGGTTTTTGTGGTAGATAACCCATACTTAAATCTGTCTATTTCTAAATGCTTTCCCACCCCTTTTATCGTTGCGTGACACTTCTTGTTTTTCACCACTTTTGAGTTTATTAATAAACTTACTAAATTCTGATCAGTTGTTTTCCCTTTTTAGTATTTGCCTCCAGTTTTCTGAGAAATGTTAGTCAAATACCGCTTTCTGGAAAGGGCCACAGTGAAATGAACAAAGTCAGGGTTTCTTTTGTTCTTCATCCCTCCCAAAATATTCTCATTCTTAACAGGGAGTTTGTTTATTCTACTGTCTTTTCTGTAAATTAAAGTTAGGAGGGTATTTTTGTTTATGGATTTGTTTATGGAATTGTTTTATGGAATTGATCCCTTTACTGATTTTAGAGAAAAAAGAAAAAGTCTAAAAGGCTTGGTGAGATATTTTTGTTTAGTTGGTGTATATTATGCTGCTACAGTTAAAGATTTACTTTTATGTTGTTACATTTGTAGATATATCCTTCGAAATTTGGGAAAGAGAGATTGAAAGAGGAAGAACAAAAAGGACCCGTGGAACTATTCGATCTTCCAGAGAATACCACAGAAAAAGACAGGTATTAACTTTATCTTCAAATGAGAGATATAATATTTCTAATTCGTGGTGAAAATCCCAATCAGCTCGTGTTTCCAAAATTTCATATGTGGAAGTCTCCTGTGGATGCCTTAATTTTACAGCTTTTTCAAGGAATATTTTACATCTGGCCCTGGCTCATTGTCAATGCAATGAATATATGCATTATAATAAAACTAGAGAAAATTTTCTTGTTGATAATTGAGTTCAGAATTTTTATTATATAGCTCAATGGAATAATAAATGGAACAAATGTGTGGAGAGCTTAACATAGCATTTGTCCTCTACAAATTGCAATTCATGCAGTAAACTCCCATTGTTGCCTACTGTCAAAATTTTTATCTGTATACTCGGCAGGGACCTTAACTTAGGGACCAGACTGAGATTTCATGAATGCCACCAACAGCAGCCCTGGCTTACTAGGCTGAGCTCATTTTTGGGTTTTTTTTTTGTTTTTTTCCTTTTGTTCTGCTTTTAAGTCTTGTCTGTATGGAATTTAAGAAGTTCTGCTTGTATATTTTTCCAGAATTTCCAGATGTTTGGCAGCCTGACTGGGGCCGTTTTTGTATAATACATTCCACTGGACTGCCCTGTATTTGGAAAATCTGGATGCTTCTGAAATAAGTGCAGATCCCTTTGAAGAGAGTCTCTAGTGCATCAGGGAATTGTGTGATGAACTCGCAGGGCATGCTGAAATCAGCTTCGCTGGGTGCATCAAGGTGCATACTGAAGCATAGGATTTACCGCTTAGTAGGCTTCAGAAATTCTGGAATACAACAAGCAGATATCCAGATATCTCAGAGATACTCCAGTGATACCTGTGTATGTACCCTCTAAATTCATGGGACAGGACCTCAGCCCTGCAGTCTCTCTCCTGCATCCTTCCAACAATTCATCCACTTCTCAATCTTTTTTTCTGCTTTCTTTTTCTCTTGTGTCGTCTTCTATGACACCACCACCACCTGTGCTACTCAAGTTAGTATCTTGATTCCTTTCCTCAGCTGTACCACTTTTTTGCTCATCACTCCTGTGCTGCCTTTCTCTAGGATGAGGATCTGTCCTTACAGCTCCCAGTTTCTCTTACGTTCTTAATGTGTACCCTTACTTATGTATGAACATCTTCTTCATCAACCTTGTGAAGAGCCAGGATAATTGCAAACAACCTGAGAAGATCTATTAAATGCTACTTTTCGTGGCCTGCACAGAGCCATACAGAGATGCTACTCTGTGCCCTGCACAGGGACTCTAACCTTACAATGCCTGTGGGAAGCAGAGTCAGATACAGAAAGTGTATGCTTAATAAAACTGTGTGAATTAGTCTTTTTACTAGAGTAAAACTGAGTAGACACTCGTGGAACTTCATGCTGTTTTAACATCTACTCCTATTATAAAATCAGGAGAGTGTTCAAATGGTGCGTATCTTTAATGACTTGAATTAAAATATTTTGCAAATGAGAAGTTGTTAAAACCAGCTCATTTGATTGTGGTGTTTTCCACTTTTGCAGTCTTTACAGGGAAAAACTGCGGGAGTATCAATTTAAGAGACTGAAATACTTCTATGCAGTTGTAGAATGTGATTCTGCTGAAACAGCAAATAAAATTTATGAGGAATGTGATGGACTGGAATTTGAAAGTAGCTGTTCTTTCATAGACCTGAGGTAACTTCAGTGGTGGCTTTATTGTATGTTGGGCTGGGGCGGGGAGGAAGAATTAAAGCTTATTTAGAATAATTTGGAGTAAACTATGTTGTCTTTGTTCTGTAACCAAAATGAGACATGTAAACAAATTAGGCATCCAGTGAGTTGTTTGGTTTTTCTTTGATGCTTTTCTTTCTTATTTTTGAGCATTTTTACTGGACTATGAAAAGTTTGAGAGGATCTCTGCATAGAGAGATTATTCTCAGAGTAGTCAGGTAAAATGTTCTGGTTGCATCTTTAACCTTTTGGCACAATTAAGTGTTAGGATTTAGAAAACAGAACAACATAGTCTTCCCATTCCCATTTGCCCCCAGGGGTGCAGAAATCTTTTTCAGGGTCGCTTACTACAGGGCAAGAACGTTGCTGCTGTTGTCATGAAGCTGCAGTAGATTACTATGCTAGCGTGGGAAAGAAAGATTTTTAAATTGTATTTGTTCTTTATTGTTAGTATTTCCTTTTGTTACAAAAAAAAAAATAGCCTGAGCAGAAGAGAAGCTACTAAATCATAGCAAGTTTTGACAAAAGCTGGCTTTGTCTGCTGGGGCCTGTGTTATGGGCACTCTTGGAAGTCAGTGAAAAGGTTTTTTCTTTGAATCATTTTCTGGAGGAGCTGAATTTGTTTGCTTTGAACCATTCTGGAGAAGATGACCTCTGCCAAATGAACATGTAACTTTTCATGCTTTTAAAGTTAGAAGGGTAACGTTTTACAACAGACACAGCTGTTTGAATTTCTCCAATGCTTTTCCTAATCTTCTACTTGTTATATTTTACTGTTGAATAGTATTCATCATATTACATTTGCATTTTAAAAAAAGAAAAAAAAACACGAGTTATTTTTCATGTAATGCATAAAGGGTTTTTTAATCTATCTTACTCATGTTACACATGACTTCAGTCTTTTAAACATTTTTTCCATAGTAATTGTAATGTTAAAGATGTACTAGGCTTTCCTAAAATGTTTTGAATTTTTTATTTATTTGTTTCCAAATTCTATTTTATTCACACTTTCTTCTGAATTTTTAATATTAAGCTTTCTGAAAAAGATGATTCTTAAAACAAACAAACAAACACCCAAAAAACCACCACTGACTCTGCCAATACCAGACTGAAATTTGTTTAGTTTGCTTCCCCAACATGGTGGTGTTCTGCATCAAAAACCTGGGGAATAGCTGTGCAGAAGCTGGATGGTTAATGTTACATGTGTGGAGTACTTGTCCATTTCTTTTGTTTCCTTTTCAGACTTGTCAGCTTTTTCTTTTAGCAAATTCTTTTGTGCTGATGTACCACGCTCTTGAAAAGCTTAGAGTGTTTACACTTTGATTTCCCAGAGTATTTGAATAATAACATGTTTTATTTGCCTATAAGATTTATTCCAGATAATGTTACATTTGATGATAAGCCCAAAGATGTAGCCTCAGAAGTGAACATAGCTGTGTATAAGCCGAAGTACTTCACATCTGCTGCTATGGGAACTTCAAAGGTATCTTTACAATGTTTTTGTAGTGTTTTTCTAATTTGTTTAGTTTTCTTGTCAGCTTATAAATAATGTAAGTAGTAGGGTAAAGATTCCTGATTACCTTCACCATTTCGAAGTAAAGACATCAAACATATTTAAAGATGTAAGCATGTTACAGAGCCACAAGTTGCAACCCCATAAATAAGCTCAAGTTTTGGATTTTAAAAGAGATTTGTCTTCTTTGTTACAAATTAAATACTATGTTTTGACCTCATTATACCTCTATTACAAGTTGCCCATGGAATTACTTTGTTATTCACAAGTAAATCTTCTAATTTGCCTAAAATGGGTATTTGTGTGTAGCTCAACAAGAGCCTTTTCAGTGGTAGGGTCAGGCTTAAACAGTTGCTTCCCCTCCTTGTAGCTATTCATTCCTACTGTCTTATGTGACAGCCACAGCTTTTCATCTGGCCATGAAATAAGCCGGCTTAGAGAAGTTATTAGTTGAGAAATAAGTAATTTCTGATGGGTCATTTTTCAGTCAGATCTCTTTCATTTTCTGGTTGAGGGTGCAGTTGTGCAAACACTTTTCATTGTCCCCATTGCGATCCATGGGTCATTCCAGGAATGAGTTGCTGCTGGAAGAGGAAAGGAGAGGAGCTGGTGGCTGCTTTAACACCAGTATCTGCTGCCATGAAGGAAGTTGGCTTACAGAAATTTCGTGTTACAGAGCCCTTCTGTGCATGATGAGACTTCATTCTTTCAAGTAGTTGAAACTCCTTGAAACTCATTATAGAACAAATTCCAAAAACTTGTAATTAAATTTATTTTAGTAAATAGATATTATAGCTAACTGTTGAAATGGTGATTATAGCTAACGGTTGTAGAGAACATTAGTAACAGGGTTTACATTGCTTCCTAAATGGCAGGTATCAAATATTTTTCCCTAAAAAGACAGAGTTACAAAGCTTAATTTTAGTGTTTCAGCTTCTACAAGAAGTGGCATTCTTATTTTTCAGGTAGATATCACATGGGATGAGACAGATCATGAACGAGTAACGTCACTTAGCAGAACTTTTAAAAAAGACGAACTTCTTGACATGGATTTTCAAGCTTATTTGGCTTCATCTAGTGAAGAAGAGGAAGAACAGCAGCAAGGTATTTATATTAATAAATGTTATCCACAGAGTCATTAGCTGCAGTGTGTTGAATGGAAGTTATTGAAATATGTAAATTCCAAATCTTTAGAAAATGCTTTGAATGTCATCTTTTACAGGAACAATATTATTCTTGTTGTATAAGAGCTGTGGTCAGATTCTACTATGAAAATAACTTGCCTTTCCTCCAGAGCTAAACATCTCCGGAAGTGGCATATACTTTACTTTTTGTGTGTGTGACCTAAAGGTGGAGGGAAATTGGTGGTGAGCAGATTGGTATTTTTTGTTCGTTCTTTCCATTTAGGAAATAAATGGATTGATGACAGAATATTGATAGATGCTAGGCATATTAACATGGAAGCCGAGTTCTTTAAATTTACTGGAACTTGACATTCCTTTTTGCTTTTTTTTTTTTTTTGTTTGACTTAAATACACATTTCCAGTGTTCTTTATACATGTTAAGAAAACATGTACAAGTTTTTAAAATGGTATTTGTAAAGCCACAGTTGAGATTCATTATGCAAACCTGAGTCTGATTCTCCAAATGAATATCACTAGTATGACCCCAGAATTACTAGATTCTTTTTGAAGACAAAGTGTCTTAGCTGAATTTGGAGTTACAGCTGACTGAGAAGATTTGTTAGTGAGAGCTGGACTTAAGCATAATCACCCTAGCTTTAAAACAGCTTTTTGGTTTTCATTTCTGTACTGCAAAATCTCTTCACCTGGTGTAATTAATGTTTGATTAAGCAAAGTATAATCATTATAATTTGAGTGATTTCAATTAGCAAGATCACAGGTGATATAAATAATGGCTTTTTTTTTACTGATATGATAAATCTGTTAAAGAAATGTTGCTTTTCAACATATATTTGAATGATTTATGTACAGAGTGTGGTAGCTATTCTGTTCATTTAATGTTGAATGAAGATCTGCCTTTCTGTGAAGTCTAAGTAACACTGATCAAAAATTACCAAATTGTAGATGATTAGGAGTTGTCCTAATGACTGAGCCCCTCAATAGCTGTTTTCTGAATATAAGTTTGCACCTCTGAGTGTAAGATAATTTTTTCTCCCTTTTTTTTCCTCCTGCCACTCTCTTTATTTTATTTTTTCAGGGTACCTTAACATTTCTCTGTCAAGTTTGGCAATACCTACTTTAATCTCTTCATTTCTGAGATAAAATTATGTTCAATAGAACTGGAGGTGCTTTGTTTTCAGAGGAAAAGCCCTAGTTTGAAATGGGAAGTGGTTAATGACTAAATGAATTGGGTACAATGCTTGCTGTGGACATTTATTTACAGGTTAATACAGTGTTTTGTCCTTGTCATGGCTCTCTATACACATACGAAAGTCTCTGCAGGGCAAGGAGCTGCCCTAAGACTGTGCTTGTTGGGATGGCCTAGACAGGACATTGAATGCACTCTAGACCTCAGAAGGTCCTGAGGGAGATGTGGATTGTACAGAGCTTCTTCGCTCCAGCAGTAGCTCTTCTTGGGTAACCAGAGAAGTGTGAATGGCAGTGGAGAAAAGCTGTGCTACGAGGCTTCTGGTACTCCTAAGCTATAGGTCTTACATAGTGATGGGAAAGGTAAGCAGAAGAGCTTTTTAAGGGAGCTTTGTAGTGTAGTAGTAACATCTTTCAAATGCTTTTGGATTCACATAACTTCTGAAGAATATAACGAGAATGTCATCTAACTTTGTAAGGTACGTGTATCTTCTGTGTATGGTGGACCAACATGTAAATTCCTGAATTACCTTGCTCGTTTTCATTCTAAAATTCAGTCTGCTCTTAATTAATAATATATATAGCCTAAATTACAAGGCAATGAAAACATCGTTAAGCTTTAATCTGATCTTTCAAACAGCGGTTGAAATTTATTTTTACTGCATTAAAGCAGGTTGTTGCAATCAGAAGAGTTTGGAGCGTGCAAAAGAACATTACAGATTTTTCTGGTTACAGAGTTGGGAAATCTGTCAGAAAGCTCAGCTTGGCAATATCTTGGCAGGGTTAATGTCCATTTGTTTCTCATATTACATAAAAATGCATGTCTAAACTACGCCTCTGTGAGCTTTAGTTTCTCCAATAATGTGTAGTAAAGTATCTAAATGGGAGCAGTAGACGCAAAGGAAAGCATTTCCATCTTATTGTATACTGCCGCCATTGTAAAGAATAGTATTTGTAACAGGGTGGTGATGAAAGCAAACATCTATAGGTGAGCAACATTTCAGAAATTTTAAAAAATAAACTTCTGTTGCTGGGAAGGAAAATAAATTGACCTGAAGTAATCTTATCACACTCATAAATTTTAAACCTGGAAACGTCTAGATTTAGATGATGTTGTAAAAAGTAAATTATTAATGGAGAAATTATGTTGCTGTGTCGTCAGCATGTTCCTAACTTTTTATCCACTCAGTTATATGATACAAAACAGGATTCTATCTGACAGGATTCCATCCTGCAGAATTATGTGGAATGGGACACATTGGGAAATGCATAAATGGGAAAAATCAATGACAGCTGTTTGAATGGAAATGTAGGAGTGTGATAAGAAGGAAAAAAATGTTCTGAACTTTTATTCATATTTAACTTATTAAAATGTTTTATTTATAAACAGGTTTTTGTTGACCTATTCTAATCTGTTTTCTGTAGTAAATTTTTCAAGTTATAATATGTGTGTCATGAATTTAAGTATTACTATTATACAACAGTTTTGTAATGTCAGGTGTTTCAGTGACCTAGTATGTCGTGGTTTGTAGCACATCTCCTTTACATTGCTTCTGAATTTTCTGTGACTTGGATGCATTTGTTCAGGTTAGGAAGCATTTGTGGTGTGCATCAAATCCAGGCTGTAATTGCCATTTTGACCACGAGCACCAGTGACTTCGTGTGTGGCATTGTAAAAGATGCTTCAAATTAAGCGTTATGGAGTTTATGCCTAAGCTTTTGTTCTGTTTGTTTTGCAAGAACAACATCTTTTCTGCTGTTCTGCTTTGCACAGCCATACAGAATACCTGAATAGACCGTATGACATAATACTTTTATCAGTGTATTTTTAATTAGCTGTTCATAATGGTATAATCATAGAATATCCCGAGTTGGAAGTCATCCACAAGGATCATCAAGTCCAAGTCCTGACTCCACACAGGGCAACCTAAAAGTTAAACAATGTACCTAAGAGTTGTTGAAACACTTCTTGAACCTTGAGAGGCTTGTAGGGAACTCCCTATTGAGCCCTGCTCTCCACCGTTGGGGTTCTAGCAGGGAGTACAGTCTCTTGTGGTATTTGGCTTCCAATACAACACTACAAAGCCAGTAGATCTTTTGTTTTGTGCTGCTGCACCAATGCCAGAGGTGCGCAAGTGCAGAGAAAGAAAATGTAGATGTTGGGAAGGAGTTGCTGAGTGGTGTTTTACGTTTTTTGGTAATGCTGCTCTTCTTATTTTTAGTGATTAATGTTAAATAAAATCAGACCATTTATTAAATCTTTTTACAATTTTGAAATTATTTGGTGCAATAACTGTCACTAAATGTATAAATTTGAATTAATCTTTAACATTGCATCACACAATAGTGCAATCCTCCTTACTGTCGTAAAAATAAACAGTATTGATATGTGTTTATATTTGCTAGAACTATTATGGAAGGCTAAGAAGTGGAAGGTGATGGAAGTAGAACATGCAATTATTTAATGTTGTCCCTGAATCCAGTGGGTGTTTATAAAATGCATTGAATGGGATTTTTTTGGGGTTGGCTTCTGCCTGTTATTCCTGTGTAGCTGCTCTGGACACTCTCAGGTGTTACTGCTGCTTTGACAGTAACAAGGATCTGACATTTTAGAATATTTCTGTTGGGTTAGTTTTGATATATTGCTACAGTATTTCATAAGGAAATAAGCTAGCAAGAGGAGTTAGCAGTTTATGACTTAGCCAAACTTGAGTGGAATTTCACGGGACAGAATAGAAATACCACAGCCTATGTTTTTTTTATTTCTGTGAAGCATCAGGAGCTTGATACAACTGATGCAGGTGTTGGAGACTTCTCCAAAGCATGTTTATAGGAGCTTTTATGTTGCATTGGTTTGTTATTTAATAAAAAACAAAAGGTGCTTGGAAGGCCAGGAACAAGGCTCATCTTTCCTACTAAAAATTTCATACAAGCTGTTGGAGCTGTCCGGTAACTTAGAATCGAAGAACAGATCTGTGTGTGCTTTTGCAGGCACCGTGTCCCTATTGAGAAAGGGCTAGACAGGCTAGCTCTGATTGCAAGCTTGTTAATCTTGGCTTACATCTGACTGGCTCAGAAGCATGGCTCTAGGAGTGTCCAGTCACCTCTCATACACAGCCAGGTGCATAAAGGCTGAAAAAAAAGCCAGAATGTAATGCTTACCATTCATTTATTGTTATCTGTCTGTTTGAATTCTCCCAGTATCTGTCTTCTCCCTGAAAAATATTTTACAGAAAGATGTGTGATGTGATACACTTTGAATAAACTGATTTTGATTACTTTGAATTCTAAATTTGTTTTTTTTTAATTATAATTTAGATGAACTAATGGGATTTGCACAACTTTTTATTCAGAGTATGCTGAGAATGTGGGAAAGGGGGGTTAAAACCCAAAGTCTTTGTCACTGTTTTCTGGCTCAAGACTAAGGTCAATGCATTCAACTTCTCTTGGCACACTGTAGTACAATGCAATAACCTCTACCTCAGACTTGCTTCTTGAATGCTGGAGTGTAGAGCTTGTTATTTTTCATTCTGCAGATCTACATGCATTATAGGAAGTTTTTTGTGTCTGTCTGAATTTGGGTAACTGCCTTGGATAGAATTGAGACATTTAGTGCGTTTTTATGGTATGGCCATCAGCGTCCAGGTCAGTAGCTGAATTTTCTGGTGTGCCATTACATCACGAGGGGGAATTTTATCTTTCCATCCTTAAAAGAAACTCAGCTTTGCAACAGACTTCTTGTCAAGTGTTCCGTCTGCTGTAATTTTTCTACTCTCCTTAGTTTGTAAGGCTGAGTTAAAAAAAAAAAAGGAATCATCTACTCGCCATTGCAAGATGATCTTAAACTAAAAATATGATCTCTTCAAAACATTGATTACAAGAATGTCATTTCAGCTAACACAGCTGCCAATCAGCATTTTAATATATTGAGCCTCTGCATTTGTTTATATTTTTGATTCGTTACAGCTTTTAAAAGCAAACAAAACCCCCTACAAACTATTGTATTGGAATGTTTCTGACCTGCCTCAGAATTTTAACTTTTTTCTTTTTAATTCTTTTAACACTTCTGTTACTACTCTGCTTTGAAAACAATAAGAATATACTTGTATTTTGTACTCTAAATTTCATCAGCTTTTGCTTTTTTTGCCGCCAACAGGTGAAGCTTTTTTCGGTTAATTGTACTTCTCTTGCCCTGCAGCTGTTAATGCACCAGAACTTTTTGTTTTGTTTGTGTGTTTTATTCAAAATGTCTTTGAACGAGCTGTTGGCAGAAAGCATTACTGCCTTAATATGCATCAGAAAGTGGTTCCTCGTGTTGTGTAATACAGCATGATACTTGAAAGCTAGTGACAAGGTTATTTGAACTCTGAACAAACCTTGAGAACATATTCAGCTCATTTTCCTTTCTTGCAGCTGTTGTCAAGAGTTCTTTATTTACTTACAGAATCAAAAGACTCTTAAGGGTTTTTTGAAGGCAATGATGAACATTTGACAAAAGAAATTCATGTTTTATCTAAATGAGAAAGTATGACAATATGCATTGCCACTTTAGTTTCACCTAGCAAAATTAGCAAAACCAGTCTTAAATACAAATCAGTAGCCCCTTACTTAACCAGTTTCAAGGGAGCTTTTCTTAGCTTAAAGATTTCTTCAGTTCCCATCCAATATAGCTTTATTTCGCATTTGTATATGATAGCAGGAAGAAGAAACAACAAAATGGCTTGTTTTCTTCTCAGTCTTCAAAACTGAATGCTTTTTGCTTGCTGTGTGAGTAGATGCTTTCTTATGAGATCCCAGCTACTGATGAGGAAAGTGGAAAAGCAACTGCAGTTAACTAAATAGTAAAGATTTCTGCTCCCCAACCAACAACCAGCTTCTTGCGGTGATTGGATGTGGAAGAGAACAATAGCGTCACACCTACGTTTTAGCCAAAGACCAGAGGTCACTCTGTTAACTTGCCACTGCAGTCTGTCTTTCTAGACACCAGTTACGCTGTTCATGAAACTTGATACTGTAGGAAGTGCAGCTTTACGGCTAAACCAGAGAAAAATCAAAAAAGGAGCCTGCTGCAAATCTAGTTTTCTACAGTTCAAGGCACTGCAGCATCTTTAAAGCCTTAAAAGCCGGTTCTCTCTGAAACATTTGTTTCAAAGCTTATTGTAAGTCACATCATAATTGTGCTTTTCTAAAAAAAGGAAGCAAAAAGCCTCTTTCCGTCTTCCTTCATTTGTTAATTCAGCAAGTTGCTGAAGATTAAGGCACTGAATAATTATCTCTTACAGATTCTTGCAAGGTTTGTTTGTTAAAATGTAGCACTCTCTTCAAAATGCTTTACACCACTATTTTTTGAGATTTAGGTACTATCGTGTTGTAAGGCATTCTAAAACTAATAATTGTTTTAAAATGCAGTAAAAGATATTGTGTCCAATGCGTGATTTCCTTTACTGGACAAATTTTCTTCTGTCTTGTCAGATATTATTTTTATTTCATCTAAGCAGAGGAATTCTAAAACTGATTACTCTTTGGAGGAATAATAGATGACAATATTTTAGATTGTTTTTTTAGAAACAATGTGTATGTCTTAGGTATGTTTCCTAAACATTAACTTCAACTGATCACTTTCCTGAGGCTGTCTGTGATAGGTTTACTCTCTCTCTCTAGGTGGTGATGTAGCTCATGAAATGGAAGATGACAAACCCAGGAAAAGCCAAAAAGATGATGAAGAGCAAATTGCTAAGTACAGAGAACTTTTGCAAAGTATCCAAGAAAAAGAGAAAAAACAGGAAGAAAAGGATATAGGAATGGAGATTAAATGGGTTCCAGGTAAGCTTGAAGTTTTCTTTTACTAACTTGGAGGATATGCAGTATTGGCCTGCTAATAGGGATATAGTGTAAGGTGTGTTGGATTTCTAGTAGTAGAAACTGACCTTTTTTTTTTCCCATACATTGAAATCCAGATGTATTAGAGTGAGGGAAACAGAAGAAATAATACAACTGAACTCAGTTCCTCAGCTGTAGGCTTCTCTTTATAGTTTATTGTTTCCCCAGGTTTTTTTGTGCTTACTTTTAAATTTATCGCTTTATAGATTTTCTTGAATAGAGTTCACGTGTTTGCCATAGAGTCATAAAACATACCTACATTTTTAAAAGATGAAAACCAGTATGATTTGGAAATATAGCATAAAATTAGAGGAGAATGGTTTGTAAATCTTACTAGCATAGTGCTGAAAACTTGGGGGAGCAGAAAAGGGAGAACCTGACTTTCCAGTCACACTGCTCTGTGGGAAAGCAAGCTATGAGGAAGGAAAGTTGGGGGATATTTGGTTGTATGTAATGACATCCAGATTTTCATCTGGAAATTAAAAAAGGTAACTTCACCGTATAGCATCCTGCTTCACCGTTTGGCATCCCAGCAGAACTCATCCTGAGATCTGAAATCCATTGTCTAGGTTTTTTTCCTTTATGATGCAAAGACATTCAGACTGGTTTTTATGTTTTGTTTATGGGTGTATGCTTTCCCTGAGATGTAATGAGCCAGTTCAACAACTCAGTACGTGCAAAAAGGGAAAGGTTTTCACTGTGGCCTCTCCGCCTTCATCCTGGCCCATAGCTCATTCTGACTGCGTGTATCAGCCCTGGGGCTTGTTAGATCTCTTTGCAAGCCTGATTTTGTTTGCTAAAATGACAGAACTACTCTAGAAAAGAAGAAATCTAGACCTTTTCCACTGAGTTTGTTTATCAGATAGGCAAATGGAAGCATTTGGTGAATGCTCAGAGGGTTGAATTATGCAGTCCAAAGACTAGGGAATTGTGACATTACCTTTTTGGGGGCAGCAAGGTGCTGTACTGTATGTGTAGGACTGCAGGCTATGTAAGGACACAGCCTAATCTATTAATGTAAATACTGAGACCAGAGATGTAGTAGAATACAGCCCCTTCACCTCAGATGTGTTAATTCCAGCTAGGAGTGCGTATCTAATTATCTGATTTACACTAATAATATTCTGAATTTACTCAAGTATCTTCTCTTGAATATAAATCCCCATTTTTTTAATCTTGTTCTGGTCTCTACGGAGTCAGTGAAATTGATTGAACTGAATGGCATAGTTTTATTCCTAGTTCTTGACGAGATCTGTATTCAAAAGTATAAACTGGCATTAAAAATAGTTGTGTTTCAGTTGTGCTTATATAATTACAATCATTGCTGGCATGAATTCTCCCAAAACTCTTTAAAGAAAGCACATATCATGCATGACAGGAAAGTGCTTGCTAATGCAGCTGTATCGTCATGTTTTGCTTCATCTGTCCACAGTGTGTCAGTATTTGCATTCTTCAAGCTGCTCACTTCATATTTTTAATTCATTGTGTCACTAAGCATTCAAGGCGAGTGAGTTTTCATACACAGATAGCTGTTCATAAGATTTTTACAATTTGTTGTTGCCACCTTTCAGACTGAAGATGGAAACCACAGTTGAAACAATTGCTGCTAGGAATGTGTTCTGTATTTATATAGGCCAGGCATTGTTTAAATGGTTAGAAACACTATCATTTTTTGTGTTGGTTTGGAAAATAAGTTTGGGGTTTTTTTGTTTGTTATACAGTCTGTCTTCCGAAGCATCTTGCACATTGCATGAATGAAGTTCTGTAATTAAAAAAGGCTAAGCAATTTAATGTGGTGCCATAGTTAGGAATCTAGAGCAAACCATTCATTGGAGGAGATGGAAAATTGTTTTAAGAGAGACTAAAGGAAATTTTTTTAGTCTCTCTTGCACAGGGAGAGCAAGAAGTTTTCTGAAAGGCTCTGCCCCTTAATTGTGACTTGCATGTTACAAGTAAATTATATTAACATTTAGGAGCTGTAGTAGAGATGTAATCCAGTTCCCTAATACAGGGGCTCCCTGTGTCTTTGCAGCTGAACTTGACTTCTGAAAAATATTGGATTTGTTTCGTATTACATCCGTATTACCCTTCCTTACTGCACCTTCTTGCGAGGCTCCTAGGACTTTTGCTATATCCTCATCTTTTTTGAGGGAAAGATGGAAAAAAAAAATCCAAAACAAACAAAAGCCCCCTATCCTGATAAATATGACTGACTTTTTCTAGAGTTGGTTGGATGTCTGTGCACTGGGTCAGATTTGTTCATATAATGATGGGTTGAATGTGCATGTGTGTACAATGAAGTTTACATTGGTAGTTTATAGTATTTTGTGTCAGTTTAGCATCTATGATTTTTGCAGTATTTGTTAGCGTTTCCTCATTTCTTACCCTGAAAAAGTGCAATGTATTATCAAAGAGGTTCTGGAAATCATAGATGCGTTCACTTGCCTTTGCTAGTTAGACTATTCACCTCCTGTGACATCAGTCAGTACTACTACTAGCTATTAGCCCCTGCAATATGGTTGTGTCCAAAACAAAAGTCCTAGAAGTGAAGGTGAGTGTCTTAACTTTGCTTTTGAGTGTAAGGCATGGGAACACTTTAGCTTTTACTGGTTTAAGGCATCATTTGAAGATGACGTCCTGCATACCTGAAAGGGAGATACTTAAATTTTTTTTTTAAGTTATTTATTTATTTTTACAGTGGAGTATAGTCAGCACATGCTGAACAGTAGTTTATACCTCTGGTAATATATATGCAGTTGAGGCTCTGCTTTATTACGGAAGAGAAGTATATTAGTTACTATGTTTTTTTTTTTTCCTTGAACAACTGTGCTTATTTAAATTCCAAAACAATTTAATTATGTTCAGTTGGAGCATACTGTGAATTCAAAAAATAGTTTTTTTTATAATCTCTTAAGACTGCTTAACTTTTTCAGAACTTGTTTATGCCTGCTGAAATGTTTTTATTATCAAGCTCTGCCTTAATCTGCTTGACTTATTGCAAAATCTTTTTCCTGCCCAAATGTTTAATATACAGAGAGTTCCAACAGCTAAATCTAGGGAGCTTTTCAATTGAAAGGCAGATATTTGAATTAACTTAAAAATTTCAGTTTTGGCACAAGTATTTACACATGGTTATAAGAAAGCATACTTTGTGAATGATTCAGTTATTCGTGAATCATAATAGTTTTAAATGACCACAGTGCCAACAAAAATAAATTAGATGTAGTTCCAACTCTCTTTAGTCTATTTCTTTTAGGCACAAAATCAGTGTTATATTTAAGCATCCATCTGTTTTCTGAATCATATCTGATTTGAGCAACAATTACTATGCATCCGTATCCAGCTTCCCAAGCTCCCTTTACAAGGTAAAGAGGGAGAAGACCACAACTGCATTTCTTGATGATATTCAGCCACTTTTTCATACAGTTGTTTTTTTGTTGTTGTTGTTTTTAATGGACTTAAAAATTCTTCATTTGGAAGAATGAGATGTAAATACTTAGCTAGGCTTAAAGGAAAATGTAAAATTTGTTTTCATCAGAAGTAGAATAGCGGGCATTCATGTCTCTGTGAAGTGTATAGTAAACCCCAACTGTATGTTGTTACAGATTATGTGGAGCACAAAAGTGCTCATATAGAGTAAATATCTCAATCTATATCATTGCTTAGCATGTCCTCTGACTGAAGCAGCCTTACCTCTTACAGCACGAAGCAGTGTGTGCTCAGCTGTGCATGGGCTCAGCACTACAGTTCTCCACAGTTGACATCTTGGCTGCTAAGTGTGGTGGGTTTTTTTCAGGCAGTTATACTATGTTAGGAAAACTGTCTGGACTTAAGATGTCTTATCTTCGGGGGTGACAAATTCTAATGTTCTCACAATATTTCTGTCTGCCATTCCTTTCACCTGCCTGCAACAAGGTGTTTCTTTTTTCTGGTTAGACATTGCATACAAGATGAACTTGCTCATTTAGATTTCCTGAGAACAGAGAAGTATCTTCTTAGCTTCTAGTAACTGTGACAGTTGCATGCTGTTAAACTTCCAAAAGTTTTCAAAGCTAAGTGTTCTGAGCAGTAAAAATTCTGGCCTGCCCACCCTCCTTCACTGTCCCACCAGTGTGAGAAGCCATATACTTAGGTTTGTTATAGTATTTATGACACTTTTAATCCTTTAGCTCCAGTAGGAATTAGTAATATGTTAATCTAAATTATCTTTCCCCCCTTTTTTCCGGGCCCTTATTTGTGAAGATTAAATAAGACTAGTGTGATTAATTTATTGTAAAAAAAATATGTAGATGAGGGTATAAATTAGCCTTTTCTATGGACAGTTAATAATTGTACCTAAAGTAGACAATTCCTTTCCCCTTCTGCATTCAAAAGCATCTTGACCACATAAATACACTCTTATTCTCAGGAAGTGGTCTGGACAGTAGCTTCTAAGCCATTCTAATCTGTGGAGAAACTCTAATGCCTTTCATGAGACTGCCAAATACCACAAGAAAGGGCTGCATTTTCCTCCAAGTCCTTCTGTGCCAGATGGATCTAATGATTAGATTTTCCAGGCAAATAAATCAGAAATCTTGTAACCTCCTTTGAGATTTTGGGTCTCTCTTTTTCTGGAGGTGTGACATATTTTTTAAATGAATTTTTTACTGTCTTTAGAGACAATCTGCAAGGTTGCTACCTGAGCAGTAATTTTTTTCCACAAAAGTACTGTAAATAGTATCCAAAGTAATAGTAGTTCAGTTTCTGGGAAGCTGATGACTCTCTTTAATTGACTTTGGAGATAAAGAGGTGTACAGTTGGAAATAACTAAATATTGTTCTTCTGGTATGAGAGTGTTTCTTAGTGGCACATCTCTAGTGAAATATCCTCTTTACAATATCCTTCCTTTGCTTTATCGTGGCTTAGCATTTGTTTGCTGGTTTAGTACCCTGTTTGTGTGGCTGTAACAGTTTGCCACTTACTGTTAATTCTGGCTTCTTTCCAGAATAGTAGAAGGATGCTTTTTTTTTTTTTTTTTTTGTTCTCCTCTCTTTTCTTCATATAAGGCATGGTTTAGCATGGTTTTAGGTCTTGTCCACAATTTGTGTTTCAGACATGTTGTAACCAGCTTTCCAGCCTTTGAATGATTTCTGGAGTGTAGACAAGCACAAGAACAGGAATTGATGTTTGCAGTTTTTCAGAAAAATGTTCTGCCTGCTTTTCTGAGGGTGGGTAGAACTGTCCTTGCAGGCTGCCCATTTTTTCCATGGATTCTATTTTCACTTCCTTGTTACTGAGGAGAACTGGAAGGAATGATGAGGAGCAGGGACTGGCCAAATGAGAAATCTGGGTGTTGGGAGAAAGAATGGCATCCACTCTAGGATATCTGAAAAGGTTCGAGTATGATTTCCGAGCAATAAAACTGGTATGAAGGGAAGGAGAGTAGGATTTGGTTAGGTGAGGGCTGGACTGGGATGGTAAGAAAGGGATGCTGAAGAGAGACAATTAGAACAAGCAGAATTGGGGAAGAGACCACAAATACGAGACTTGGAGGGAGAAGCAGAAACATGATTGCTACACGCTCCCAAGATCTATCAGTCATGTCATAGAAGAGGATGTTAACTATAGGATATCAGACTCACTTGTTACAGAAGTTTAAAAAAAAAAAAAAGTAGTGAATAAAGCAAGGAATTGCAGGCAGGAGAAAAATACTTCATTGCTCAGGCTGTTTCCTCCTGCCATGGAAGTGGATTCTGTCTTTCTGCCACTGAATTCTGCTCCAGTGTGTTGCAAAGCAAGTCAGTTAATCTCTTTACATCATAAAGTTTGGTTTTAGCAAGTGTCCGTCCTGTGAAGAAGGGGCTGAAATTGTATAAGCTGCATCTGAAATCAGTATTTGTCCTCATAGCATGCAAGTGCTGTGTGATTTAAAGTAACTTTTGGAAAAGCATTCCTGAAGTGTGTGGAATTTTTAACCAAAAAATGAAAATTGCTTTTAAATGAAGTGCTTATTCTGGATTTAAATAATTTAGGTGTCAAATGGGGATGCTGTAGTTACTTAATGGATTTTTTTTTAAGGTGATGTTTCTACACCATTGAATACTGTAATGATACTTATTATAGAAAACCCCAATCTCTTTCTAGAGTGGGGTTCAATTATGTTTAGTAATTTTGCTATCCATTATAGTGTTCAGTAACTTAGCTATACATTGAACAGTAGCACAGAATATTGAGTAGTTAAGTGTTCATGATCTATCGGTCAAACGGTTAAGATCCTCTGGAAAAGGTAAAATGTGGTCAGAAACTATCAGAATGCACATTTACAAAAAGACTAAATTAAAGGTTAGGACATACTTGTGCATGCAACTTCAAGTGCTAGGCTTTAAAACAGTAGCATTCTGTGCTAAATGATAGAATTTAATGTAAACCTAATTAACATCCAGACTTAACTGTGTCTCATCCTGTTATGCGAGAATTATTGAGAGTCAGGTATGTTGCACTTCTGTGGGGTTCACTTTTCTAGGACCCTCAGAAAACTTGTCATGCTCTGAAAGTAAAGAGGAAAACAAACCAAGCTGTTTACCTCAAGCATCAAATCTGAGTCCAGGTTTACTGTCCTACTAGGTGTGTACTGTTTTTTAATTGAAGATAGTTTTCTGTTGTTAGAGCAGACTGGTACCAAGTAGCTTAAAAAGACTAGATGACCTGAGAATAACTTGTCTAGTTTAACTTAATGCATGTCCTGTTATGACATTGGTACATGATCCAAAAGAACAGGCTGCATCAAAAGCAGCGTGGCCAGCAGGTCGAGGGAGGTGATTCTGCCCCTCTACTGTGCTGTGGTGAGACCCCACCTGGAGTCCTGCATCCAACTCTGGAGCCCCCAGCACAAGAAGGACATGGACCTGTTGGAGCGGGTCCAGAGGAGGGCCACAAAGATGAGCAGAGTCTCCTACGAGGAAAGGCTGAGAGAGTTGGGGCTGTTCAGCCTGGAGAAGAGAAGGCTGCGGGGAGACCTGATTGCAGCCTTTCAGTACCTGAAGGGGGCCTGTAGGAAAGATGGGGAAAATCTTTTCAGCAGGGCTTGTTGTGACAGGACAAGGAGTAATAGCTTTAAACTAAGAGAGAGTAGATTTAGGCTGGATATAAGGAAGAAATTTTTTACCATGAGAGTGGTGAAACACTGGAACAGATTGCTCAGAGGTAGTGGAGGCCCCATCCCTGGAAACATTCAAGGCTGGTTTGGATGGGGTTCTGAGCAATCTGATCTAGTTGAAGATGTTCCTGCTCATGGCAGGGGGGTTGGGCTAGATGACCTCTAAAGGTCCCTTCCAACCCAAAGCGTTCTGTGATTCCATAATGCAAGAAATTTTTTGGGTTTTTATTTATTTTTTTCTGTGCTTTCTAGCTGTGGATTTATTTTTACTTCAGATTTATTGAAATAATAGCTTATTGTTCTCTTTTACAATGATGGATGAAAAATACACTGGTCATCAGAGTTACTGTAGCATTGTCATAGTATGATCACAGAGGCGGAGTTCACCAATGGAGATGCTATATATAGCAACTTTATTGTGTGAGTGAGGCATACTGATACAGCAACAACCAGATAATATCTCTGTGTGAAATGGAGAGCACCAGCTATAGAGGTTCAAGCCAGCTGTGAGATGACCCTGTACTCTGATAGTGATTTAACATTTCAGAATTGCCAACTCACTCAATCTTTTGTACTTTGTTTTGCTGTGCACAGAAAATGGGAATGACTGGACTGTATTCGTGGTCTTTTTGTCAATTTTAACTAACAGTAAGGTACATTAAATATAAGGGCTCTGTGTATGTCTGTTGTTATTTTTATTGTGTTACCTTCATCCTTAAAAAGTGACACCTGTAGACTGTCTAATGTCTGAAGAGGAGACCTTTCTGAGAAATAGCAAGGGTGTTGGGAATCAGGTATCACATAAGCAAGCTCTTCTTCTGACTCTTGTACAATTTATTACTGAAGAAAAGTTTTATTTGGAAAAACACATCCCGTAAACTGATCTTGTTTATAAAAATGTTACTTTAAGCAATATTCATATTGTTTTCACAGACTTATTAAAGAAAAACTAGATGATTCCTTGACAAAGGAGACCACAGTTGATATATTTGTTTTTTTCTTTGCCTCAAAGAAACTGCTGAAGAAATGGTCAAAAACAGGTTGGAAGGAAAGGATAACCTAACTCCGTGGCAAAAATATCTAGAGAAGAAGAAAGAAAAAAGAATTCTTAAAAAAAAGAGAAAGGTAATGTTTGCATTGGCCACTTGGGGGGGAGTTGTTGTTTGTTTTTCTTAACTTGCTGTTATTGTTTGTTTTGCATAAACTAAATAAAAATCTGTATAGCTTCCAGCACTATTGTAAGGTTTGAAAGTGCAGTGGTGACTCATGTGGAATGACCCAGTGCCTCATCTAACTTAGAGAGCAAAAGGATGTTCAGGATACTACTAATCATATGTAATATGCTTACACAAAATTTTGTTTATATGCTTGTGTTACTTAAAAGATAAATGAGTCATTATAAGAGTTGGTGTTTAATTTACATTTTTTAATGATTAGGAAGGGCCTTTTTGATACTGTATGCATATCAGTTCAAAGTTGTTACGATAATGATAATTGTGGTTTTGGAAATTTTTGGCCTACAGTAATACAGACTTGTTTCCCAAAGCTGTAACAGCAGAGAATTAATAGCTGTGAAGAACTACTCAAATTTCAAATTGCAAAAGCAAATTTGGTAAATAGTTCTGGGTATGAATAACAAAATGGTCTGATAGTAATGTGAAAATTGCTGTTGCTTCATCTTTCCACACACAGAAAGTAATTGTGAAGGAACTGACTCCTGTGGCAGTAATGTGCAGATAAATGAAATGTTTGTGCATATGCTATGAAAAAAAGCATGTGGCATACAGAATCTAGCTTCCCTAAATTCTTAAATTACTCTGACTATAATTCATGTTGCAGAACAATTTTTTTACGAGTAACTTCTCCAACATGAGTTATGGTGTGCATTACATTTAGTTTTAACTGGCATTTGATTAGTAACAAATGGATGCCCTCAAATCCGTGGACCCTGATGGAATGCACTCACGAATACTGAGGGCGCTGGCAGATGTCATTGCTGAGCCACTCTCCATCATCTTTGAAAGATCCTGGAGGACAGGAGAGGTGCCCGAGGACTGGAGAAAAAACAATGTCACCCCAATCTTCAGAAAGGGCAAGAAGGAGGATCCAGGGAACTACAGGCCAGTCAGCCTTACCTCCGTCCTGGGAAACTCATTCTAGAGGTCATCATTAAGCAAGTGGAGGACAAGAAGGTTATCAGGAGTAGTCAACATGGATTCACCAAGGGGAAATCATGCTTGACCAATCTGATAGCTTTCTATGATGGCATGACTGGCTGGGTAGATGAGGGGAGAGCAGTGGATGTTGTCTACCTCGACTTCAGCAAGGCTTTCGACAATGTCTCCCATAACATCCTCATAGGAAAGCTCAGGAAGAGTGGGCTGGATGAGTGGACAGCGAGGTGGGTTGAGAACTGGCTGAATGGCAAAGCTCAGAGGGTTGTCATCAGTGGCACTGAGTCTAGTTGGAGGCCTGTAACTAGTGATGTCCCTCAGGGGTCAGTACTCGGCCTTATTCAACTTCTTCATCAGTGACCTGGATGAAGGGACAGAGTGTACCCTCAGCAGGTTTGCTGATGATACAAAACTGGGAGGAGTGGTGGATACACCAGAAGGCTGTGCTGCCATTCAGCAAGACCTGGACAGACTGGAGAGTTGGGCAGAGAGGAACCTGATGAGGTTCAACAAAGGCAAGTGCAGGGTCCTGCACCTGGGGAGGAACAACCCCATGCACCAGTACAGGCTTGGGGCGGACCTGCTGGAGAGCAGATCTGTGGAGAGGGACCTGGGTGTCCTGGTGGATGACAAGTTGACCATGAGCCAGCAGTGTGTCCTGGCTGCCAAGAAGGCCAATGGCATTCTGGGGTGCATTAAGAAGAGTGTGGCCAGCAGG